CAGCCTCTCACTTCTGGCCCGGTGGCTGCCTCTGCCCTGTCACTTCCGAGGTGTCCCTGGGAGCACACTGTCTTCAAACCTCCCTCCAGCACACACTCCAAACCTCCGTGGCCTCCTCTGCGGCATTTTGTTCCTCTCATTACATCATGTAATTTAGAAGGACCTTTTTAATTTCACTTCCCATGAGAACTTCCATCTTCATAGTGTTTAGTAAATATTTTAAAAAGTGGTTTGACTAAATTACAGGATTCATGAATCCGTGATTGTATCCTAAATTCACTGTGTAAGCAGTTTGATTGTGTAACTGCTGCTATAGAAATCCTTTTAAGGCTTTGGATTCAGAAGCTCTTTTTACTTTGCCTCCTGCAAAGCCCTAGGATTTGGGGTTGGGGTTGGGGGGTGGGGCTCAAATGGATCTGATTTTATTTGCTTTACATACTGGGCTTCTCAAGTACGATTTAATATGACAAAAGGGTGTTTGCGCTAACAAGAACTTAAAGACTGCTGGTTAATGTTCTCAAAGATCCCTGAGTCTTTGGCACTTTGAGTTTTGGGGGGGTTTTAGTTCTATTCCTTTCCATACAGTGTTTCTTGACCTCAGCCTTTCCTGTACTGTTTTGAAAATGTACTGAAAAGGTCCTTAATTACTTATTTCTTTTTTTAAATGCTACTTTTACATTGCTTTTTGCTCGTTGTCAGTGTTAAAGAAATGAGTGAGAGATCAGCATGATTTCAGTGCTGGGTTTAATTTGGTCCAGAATCATCTGATCTGGGTTTGAACTCTGGCTCCAATTCTGTTTTGTTTTTTAAAATATTTTTATTGATTTCAGAGAAGAAGGGAGAGAGAGATAGAAACATCAATGATGAGAGAGGCCCTAGCCGGTTTGGCTCAGTGGATAGAGTGTGGGCGCGTTCAATTCCGGTCAAGGGCACGTACGGTGGTTGCAGGCTCCTCCCCAGCCTATGCCCTGGTCAGGGCTTGTGCAGGAGGCAACCAATCGATGTGTTTCTCTCACATTGATGTTTCTGTCTTTCCCTCTCTCCCCCACTCTCCCTAAAAATCAATGGAAAAATATCCTCGGGCGAGGATTAACAACAACAAAAAAAGATGAGAATTATTGATCAGCTGCCTCCTGCGTGCTCCCTACTGGGGATTGAGCCTGCAGCCTGGGCATATGCCCTGACCAGGAATCAAACCATGACCTCCAGGTTCATAGGTTGATGCTCAACCACTGAGCCACGCCAGTCAGCCTCCATTTCTTTATGTGACTTCAGAAGTTACTTCACCTATCTGCCTCCTATACTTTAATCAAGGTTGCTATGAGATTTAGAGCTGATACTATATGTAAGGAACTTAAACTTAATGCCCTATGCATAGAAAGTAAATCTCAGGTAGCATTATTCTCGGTAACTAGATGAGCCCTGGGTTGTACCTAGGGGTGTTTTTAACATGAATTTAACATAAATCTATGAAAGTTCAAAATTATTTTCTAGTTATGGGCAATTGTGTATTTACCTTGAAATAGTTTAGTTGTTCTGACTTACCTAAAGGTCCTGTTCTATGTGTAGTAGAATTAAGATTATTTTATTGTGCACCTCAGTGCAACATTGGCTTTCTATTTGCCTCAAATTCCTGTGTACTTTTTAACACTGCTGCTCAAAGATCTGAACCTAGCAGATACAGTGTATCGAAGTTGCAGTGATGTACTAAAAATCAAAAGCATTATAAAGTCTGTTAGGTAGGCAAGCAGTGCTGGTAAAAATAAATGTTCTTAATGCCAGGACTGTGGTAATTGAAAATACATATAAGCAAAGAGGACATTTTAACTGTCAATCTAGGAATCTCCAAGAAAATAATCCATAACACTGATGCAGTATTTCAGTAAGGCAGGAGGATTCAGTATTACTAATAACAGGAATTATAAAGTTGTCAGGGACTCAGGATCCTTCTTCCTTTCTACTCCATCATCCTCAGTAAGATGCTCCTGGGACTCCAGTCATCGCATCCCAGTTGCAGGAAGAAAAGGCCCTCCTCCTACTAAGTCAGTTCCCTGAAAATTTTCCTGGGAGCCCCACTGAATGACTTCTGCCACCTCTGGCTGCAAAAGAGTTTAGGAAATAGAGCCTTAGCAGGGCATGTAAGAAAGGGGCAGACTGGATTAAATAAACAACTAGTGTCTACACTCTAAAGATCCGCTTTCTCTCAAACCAACAAAAGCACATCAAAACTGCAGTGGAGGAAAACCCTATTCGAAAGAGCAACAGAAACCTTAGATCAGCGGTTCTCAACCTGTGGGTCGCAACCCCTTTGGCAGTCAAATGACCCTTTCACAGGGGTCACCTAAGACCATCCTGCATATCAGATATTTACATTACGATTCATTACAGTACCAACATTACAGTTATGAAGTAGCAACGAAAATAATTTTATGGGTGGGTCACAACATGAGGAACTGTATTTAAAGGGCCAGAAGGTTGAGAACCACTGCCTTAGATGCTTTGTAGATAAATGTAGCAAGAAAAGCACAGGAAGCTAAGTAAAACATGGCTAAAAGACAAAACGGAACTATAAAAATAGAGACATGTTTCTAGATGAAAACACTTGATAAAAATATCTTTCTCTGCAATTATCCTCTAAATTTGATGCGCTCTGAGGTTTTCAGCATGATATTTATGAGCTTGATAAAATGGCTCTGAAAGTCACCTGAAACTTTCCACATACCATGAAACTATCACAGTTGGCTGAGAATAGGCAAATAGACTAATGGAACAGGAAGAATCTCTGCTATGTGGAAATTTGCTAGGTAATTAAAAAGGTACCTGAAATCAGTAGAGAAAGAATGACCTGTTCTCTACCTGTATTATCTAGCATCACAGCTACTAACCATAACTTTCTGCTTATTAAGTTCAGTTCCCTGGAGTACTGGCCACATTATGAGCACTCAGAAGCTACAGATGGCTAGTTGCCACTGCATTAGACTGCACAGAAACATTTTCATCACTGTGGAAAGTTCCATTGGACGCATCATTATAGATGGTGAGGGGACACCTGGATACCTACTAAGGAAAATAGATCCCTAACTCTGGGCTTTGGTACGGTTGCAACCACTGAGTAGGTGATCCTCCATGCCATTAGCAAAGATTTAGCTAAAATATTTGATTTTTCTGTAGTAGTATTTTGGGCTTCGTCATTTGTGATTATTATTGTAGTCACATCATTCAGCTAGTTAATGGCATAAATGAAGGTGCCAGTCTAGAAAATACTGTTTCTTTTTAAGGACGTATGCAGGGTCTTGCTCCCAACTGTGTCTCTGGCCTTGAGGTGATGACTGAGGCCCTTTGCCCACAAGCTGTGCATGTACCTTCCATGGCCTGCGAGTTGAGTGGGCAGGGACATGCTGAGGTGGTGTCTGGGAAGGTTGCATTACAGACCCCTAGCAGCTGCATTTCAGCTTTTCTTCGCTTATATACTGGAATCTGTATCAGAGGGAAAATATTTTCCAATATGAACTGATAACTTCCCCAAGGTCTTTGCTGCTTTTCCTACTTGAATCTTTTGTGAATACTTTACTTTGATTTGCCTTCTAAATATGTTGTGTCCAACACAGATGTTACATAAATATTATGTATACATACAACACTTTTGATCTTCTAAGTAATGCTATTAAAGAGATTCAGATAATTTTCATATACTTCTGCATTAGGATGAGTAGTTCTTGGGCAACTGTACTTCGTCATGACTGATCTGGTTGAATCCTTCACTCATGTAGCAGAAGTTTTCTTCTCTTAGAAGCATGGCTTCTACAGATGCCAGAGCAAGGCATCAGATTCATGTGAACTATGAAAAGGATATGTGTGAAAAGGATTTCTGTCCTGCTGTATTCAGAAAATACCCAGTAATCACGTGTCTTTCTGGTTTTGAAAACTGATTTCTTACTAAGTTGGTAGGCCTGTGTGCCTAGCAAGGGATTCCCAATCTGTTTTCCAGTATACCACCTAATCTCCAGTGACTTCAGGAAACTTCCTTAGCTTTCAAATTCACATAATTTAAATTTATTTAAATGTATAAATATATGTATTTGCCATGCAGTGCTGTGGGGAGATCGTAGCTCCAGAGAGGTTTTGGGACATGTCATTAGATTTCAGAAGGGTAAGAGAATAATTAGAATACTTTGTATAAATCATTAAAAACTATGCCTAAAGTATTTTGAATTTATTAACTTAAAAAATAAAACCACATGCACAGAAAGCTAGTTATTTAAAAAGTATATTATAAATTAAGTATGTTTTACCATAGACTGTAAGAGATGAAAAGTGATTTTGAGTCTCCATCGACTTTGGTAAACCGATAAGACCTGTGATTTATCTCAAGTAGTTTATTGGAAATCGGCTGCGTATATGTGATGCCAACAAAATAACACCATTTAGGAGGTGTTGAATTCCCACAGTATTAGTAAGACCTAAGCAGAAAAAGATCACTGTCTTCCTGTTTAAGGAATGTTGTAAGGAGTCAGGTGATTATATCGGATCCAGCTGTTCCGAAGGAGTACAGTGTTGGGTGACTTCCAGAATATTCTTTGGAGATAGTGATTTAGGACAGCAGTTGCCAACCTTTCAGACCTCACGGACCACTGGTTGGCGACCGCTATTCTAGGAGACCGCTGGTATCGAAGAGGGGAGGCCAACAGGATACTCCCAAGTTCCCAGTGTTACCCTTTCCACTGTGGTGAGGCCTCTTTAGCTGGGATTCTGCTTGAACTCTTCATGTATCACGGGCATCTTCGCAAACCTGCCTCTTTGACTCCCAGTGAGATAGAGTGAAAAGGGACTAAAGGGTTGCTGTGAGCCCTGTTCAGTTCTACAGGCTGTGATACTGCTCTCTATACATTAGGAATTCCAGGTGAACGGCTACTCACAAAGCAATATTGGCTAATTATTGAACTTTTTATTATTCAAATTCTACATGCTTTCTAATAGGTGATCTATCCACTGTTTCCTAGGGACATTCCAGCTATATCACACACCTTGACTGGTCCCCAGACAACGAGTATATAATGTCTAACTCGGGAGATTATGAAATATTGTACTGTAAGTATGAATGATCATGTATGGCTGAGGGTGTCTGCCAGGGGCACTAATGAGTGGGCTGTATGCAATCTGAATTGTGCGGAGCATGCATGTTGGCCTCTCTAGCCTGGCAGCATATGTTACTCTGAGCTAAGGAATGAGAATCTGAAATGTGCTTCACTTCTCCAAAAAGGTAATGAGTTAATTTAAATGTGCAGACATGTCATAAGAAATTAACTCGGCAAGATTGATGCTGCTCTGAATGGTTTTGTATTTACTCTTTCTGGTGATGGGAAAAAGTATAATGGATGGACATGTAGGCTTTTTTAAAGAAAAAGAACCTTCAGTGGGAAACAATTTGTACTTCCAGAAACCATGCTTTAAAGTAAACTCTTTTCCTTTTTAAATGTATCTTAATGTTTTTCAGTGTATGGATTATAAATCCAAGTAAATGTGGCTAGTTTGAATCATATACATTTATACACAAGCACTGATTATACTTCCTGTTTCTAAATTTAAAGGGAACATTACAGACAGCTGCAAACTAATCAGGAATCGATCAGAGTGTAAGGACATCGATTGGACGACATATACCTGTGTACTAGGCTTTCAAGTCTTTGGTAAGGACGTGATACCTGATGGAAAAAGGCTGTGGAGTTTTATAGATAATTATTTGCCTGAATTCCTAAATGAAATAGTCTATATCTGTTCTTTAGTGTTATCACTATGAATGCCAGATTCAGAGAAATTAAACCGATGCAAGGTTTGTTCTCTGCAGAATCCAGAATTCTGGCCCTTGATAAATAAGAGAAAGGAATATATATATATATAGCCAGGGGCCATCACCTCCAAAACCACCAAACGGATGACTGAACCAGCTGAGTGGGGCGACAAGGCCGGCAGGGCGGGCAGTGAGGGGCAACCAGGCCTGCAGGGGGGCCAGTTAGGGGCGACCAGGCAGGCAGGTGAGCAGTTAGGAGCCAGTGGTCCTGGATTGTGAGAGGTGTGTCCGACTGCAGGTATAGACCCGATCCCCAGAATCCCCTCAGGGGTCCCAGATTGGAGAGGGTGCAGGCTGACACCGCCCCACCCCACCGCCCCATGCATGAATTTCGTGCACTAGGCCTCTAGTTTTACATAATGGGCAGATTGCCTATCCATTTTTTTTCCTCTAAGTTAAAACTGAAACTTTTAAATTTGTAAAGGCATTTTTATAACAGCTTTATTGAGGTATCACTCACTTTAAAAGTGCACCTAAAGTGCACAATTCAGTGGTTTTAGTATATTCACAGTTGTGCTTCTGTCATCACTAATTTCAGAACATTTTCATCACCCCAAAAATAAACCCTCCACCCATTCATAGTCACTCCCACCTCCACCCCATAGCAACCACTAAAATCTATACTTCCTGTAATGGTCTATTCTAGATAGTACTTATAAATGGAATCATGTAATATGTGATCCATTGAGACTGGCTTTTTCATTTAGCATATTTCAAGTTTCATCCGTACTGTAGCATGGATCAATACTTCATTTTATGGCTGAATAAGAGCTGTTGTATGGATATACCACATTTTGTTTTTCCATTCATCAGTTGATGGACATTTGAGTTGTTTCCACTTTTCAGCTATTATAAATAATGTTGCTATAAACAAGCATGTGTAAGCTTTTGAGTAAGCATGTTTTCATTTCTCTCGGGTATGTACCTTGGAGTGGAATTGCAAGGTCAAATGGTAACTGTGTTTAACGTTTTGAGGAACTGCCGGGCTGTTTCCCAAAGTGTCTGTACCATTTACATTCCCACCAGCAGTTGGGGTTTGGCTTCTCCACATCTTATCAACAGTTGTTATTGTTAATTTTTGTATGTGAATGTCCAGTTGTCCAAGCACCATTTGCTGAAATAAAAAGGCAGTATTAGTAGCTATTATTTAAAGATAAAATTTGGAGATCCTTATCTGATGTTTGGACATTCCTAGAAATCTGTCCTGACAGTTTTCTAACTAAGCCTTTCCCAGTCTGTAGGGGTCCTTCTGAAAAAGTTAGATGGTAAATGAAAAAGTTAAAATAATAAAGCTGTGTTTGCAGAGAATTAAAAATAAATGTTATACTAAGAAATAGAATAAAAAGGTTATAGCACAAATACCTAAAGCAATACCCAAAATATTAATACTTTTCCTTTTAACAAGTCTATCTCTGCCTTCTGAAAACAGCTCTCAGATCCAGCATAAGTATAGATCTGAACACTTCTTTATGCTGTGTGCATTGGAAAAATAATCCATTGTAGCTGCTTGTTCTAAATTCAGCTGCTGTAGAGATGGAGAAGCCTACTAGGCTAGGAAGAAATGAAAAACAAAATAACCCTGACTGTTCCATAAACAATTTCATTATTCTGGATGAAACGAAGGCAGTGGCCAATAACTAATAACTTACCTAGTTATTTTAATGAAGCAATATGTAATTATTATTAGTTCAGAAGTGTTTCAATTTATTTTACCAAATTTACCAAACATAATTTTTCTCTAGAGTAGCATTGAACCACAGAAGGCCAGCACTTCAACCCTATGTATTCCATAGTTTTAATCTAGTCTAATAAAATTCTGTGGTATGTTGAACATAACCACCAATGCCTGATAAAGGTTAAAATTAAATTTTCTATGTCTTATCTTTGGACATCAATAATAGTTACCAGAAAATTCTATGGGATATTAGATAGACTAGACTCTCCGTTAGGTTTTCTTTGAAGTGCCTCTCTGTGAGAGAGGATGTAAATTTTACACAGCTTACCCAGATTCCACTTCGAAGAATTAGTGAGTCCCACAGCTTTGTTTCTGCATCTTGCTATACGAGTCACTGAGAGCTTCATGAACTCTAACTAGAAACCTGAAAAAGGAAGAGCTTATTGGTGAGTTAAACTTAAAACTAAAATTACTTTAGCACCACCTGCTGGTTACTAGTGAGTACTTTTGCATCATTAAATTTTCCATCATAAGGCTATTTCGATTTATAATTTTATTATTAGTTAGACTTTGGGTAAAATATTTGAATAAAGTGTTGAGCCACTAAGAAATTGTAAGGGGAAAATGTTAGCAGCTAAGAGTTTGAACACAGATGAAAATTAATAAGATCCTGAAATTAAATAAACCTATGTAGCATCACAGTTATCAGTTATATTTTTCAGGCTAATTCTTCTGTACTCCTATGTTCCCATATCAAAGGTGTCTGGCCAGAAGGATCTGATGGGACAGATATCAATGCACTGGTGCGATCCCACAATAGGAAGGTGATAGCTGTTGCTGATGACTTTTGCAAAGTCCACCTGTTTCAATATCCCTGCTCCAAAGCAAAGGTAAAATTAATTTAATAAAAATTAGCATTATGGTGCCTTTTGTTTGAGATAATTTCGTGTCAGTGGCACAAAAATATTTGTAGGGTTACTAATCACTGTCCATGATACTGAGATGCACAGGGAGAGAACAGGGCCATCTGTTGTCAGTGTCCAGGCATTGCTCGTCTTCTCTTTCCTCCATAAGGACGAAGATAATTATAGAAGGCAGCTGATGACGGTTTACTCATTTTTGTTTATTGTGCATTTGTTTACATATTGGCAATTTTAAATTTCTCATAAACATATTTTGTTACATCTATGATCAGCATTATAAAACTCATGAGAGCTACTTCCTAAATCACCTACAATCCTGCCAACCTAGTAAATTCTTCCCTGGCCATCCAATAGAATAGTTACTAAGTATACCAACTTTTTCTCCAAAAGAGATGGGCTTTTATTTTTTTAGCTATATAGTCTAAAGTATACATGTCTAATTATTATCCTTTATTTCTTCTAAATAAACAGTATTAAAGGGAAATTACTGCTAGCTTTATTCCTCAGATTTGATGACTCATGGCTTTGATTTCCTGTTTTATGAGCTGAATTACCCCTTTACCTTGTCACCTCCATTGCTGTAAGCAGGCATGTAAGAATGAATTTAACTTTCCTGTCTGATTTATTTCATATAGGCTCCCAGTCACAAGTACAGTGCCCACAGCAGCCATGTCACCAATGTCAGTTTCACTCATAATGACAGTCACCTGATTTCAACTGGTGGAAAAGACATGAGCATCATTCAGTGGAAACTTGTGGAAAAGTTGTCTTTGCCTCAAAACGAGATTGTAGTGGATACTACTTTAACCAAAGCCCCCATCTCTTCCATTGAAAGTGTCATGCAATCTGGCACTCCCACACCGCCTCCTTCCCAGCCCTTAAGTGAGACAGCTGAAGCAGCAAGTAGAATAAGCAATTCTCCCACACTTCTGGAGAACAACCTGGAACAGACTGTGGAGCCCAGCGAAGACCACAGTGAGGAGCAGAGCGAAGGAGGCAGTGAAGACCTCAGTGAGCCTGTTGATGAAGAGCCATCCAATGAGATGAGCCAGGAGCAGAGTGAAGCCCCTCTTACTGAGGACCAGCAAGACCCTGCACCTCTATCCTAACACCAGGGCTTGAGTGTATGTGATATTGAGCTAGAGTTCAGATAACAGGACAGGAAGTGATGGAGGATCGCTATTGACCAAGATTTTGGTTTCCATGTGATCAGTGTTCTTCAGTAGAATTATCTTCAATCAAATGGAACCGACCTAACGGTTCATTTTGGTGTGCGTTGAAGATGAACCAAACTTAATAGTAGGAAAGAG